CCCAAAAGATCATCAATGACAGAGCCATCAGTGAGTTTTCTCGAACATCTTCTAAGGAAGAATTCCTCCAGTGATTGGACAGAAAGTGATGAAAGGGGAAAAAGAAAGGGAGCAATTTTAATTTAGGTGTTTACTAGAGGGAGCTAATAATGATAATTATTCAATATAGTTATACAGTTCGAGTGCGATTATGAATATGAAAATCAGGTAACAATGAGTATATGAGTACTGAATGAGTATTCAGTGAGTTTCTAAGTTCAGTGTCATGAAAGTTATTCAGTGTTAGAAATTAGATTTATCTTGTCTATTCAGTTACTCAATCGAGTAGCGAGGAAATTATTTCAGTAAATTTATTTGTGAGTTAGACATACTTACCATTTGTCTCAGAATTTCTATTTTGTACACTTAGGCCTACAACCACAAGTGAAAGTAGCCTGAAGCAAACATTAAAGAATAAATAAACTAATTTGTTATCGTTACGTTGATTGTACTTGACATTATTTTTACTAAATCATCCAAAACAACTCGCCTAATGATAGAACACTTTACAAATCTATAGACTGATTTTCATGCCACTTCGCTTCTTGTTTTTTTATACCTTAGTGTGAAAAACAAATTCTAGAAAGTGAAGATAAAACTTAAAAATAGTTGTTGTTTTTTCAGCTAAATTATCTCTTTAGCAATATGTTCCTTCCTCTTTCTTTTCACTGCAAATATTTACACTCAATTGCAAGCATGTGAATTGTAGTATGAGTAAGACACCTGGCGTGAGTAATAACTACTGAAATTACAAGTACCAATTGCAAGTTCTTACTTTCGATAGCTTTGTATGTTGTCGAAGAGAAGCCGGTTTTATCCCAGTCACGTGACAGGGTGGCCGTATAAAACGAGAACAGGCAGGTGTGAAACAAGTGGAGGAACAAGTTTTGTGTCAGAAGGAGGTGGGATATGTTAACAGGTAGGAGTTGAGCAATACACGCTGTCCTTGTATACAGTGAATCCAGGCCAAAAAGTTTACGTATTAGAACGGCTGTGTTGTCAGAGTTTGTTCTCAGATCAGGACTGTGAATTTCTTTCGCTATATTTTTGTGTTTTATTAATTGTCTTGAAAACAAAGTTTCTTCAAAATATTTAAGGTAAGAAAATTATCACATAGTATGTTTGATTTTTTTAATTATTTGGTATAATTGCTTTAGGGTTAAGTTAAAATAACCATCTACTTCCAAGAATTCAGTAAATTTTCTTAATGACTCTATTTTTTTAAGCGTAAAGATACACAATGGGATATCTGCATTTTAAGCCCTCTAGATTATTGCACAACCATCGGGGAGCAGTTTTATTTCTATTTATTGATATATTTTTTGTATTGGGCTTTCACGTTTAGTAAGCTTATGTACTTAAGAAACCTTATTCATGAATTGGCTATTTAGTAAAGAATTATCGATGACAATTCGTAGTACTTAGTGTTTCTAGAAAATATACAGCATGCAGGTCTTGCCATATGTAAGAGATAGGAGTTAGGCCTTAATGACCTTAACTGGTGTAGTAAATCAACATTTTAAAAATACTTTTAATACGATTTGGAAAGATGTACCACATAAATATTTCCCATTTAAAACCTAATGTATTTTGGGTACATTTACTGTTTTTAAATGTGAATAATCCTTATAAGGACTGAAAGTGAAATGTATTGTTAAAATTACAACTTAATATCTGAAGGTTAAAAGGGCGCTATTGAACTCTCAGTTTAACACACAAAATTTATTGCTGAGATTACACTATTATGAAAATTCAGTGAATTAAGCTATTGAACTCTCAGTTTAACACACAAAATTTATTGCTGAGATTACACTATTATGAAAATTTAGTGAATTAAGCTATCGAACTCTCAGTTTAACACACAAAATTTATTGCTGAGATTACACTATTATGAAAATTCAGTGAATTAAGCTATTGAACTCTCAGTTTAACGCACAAAATTTATTGCTGAGATTACACTGTTATGAAAATTCAGCGAATTAAGCTATCGAACTCTCAGTTTAACACACAAAATTTATTGCTGAGATTACACTATTATGAAAATTCAGTGACTTAAGCTATTGAACTCTTAGTTTAACACACAAAATTTATTGCTGAGATTACACTATTATGAAAATTTAGTGAATTAAGTTATAAATATTTTTGTCAAAATAGTGTTATTATGCTCCCCATGTGTTGGGTCACTTGGAATTGCTAACACGTTTGTTTCCAGCTTTTCAATGAAAGGATTTAGTGTTTTCAGATTATAGTTTTTATATTGTAAATCTTTCACATTATCCTCTAAAGAGACTTGTCCCAAAATATGGGTGAAAATAAAGAAAGATATGTTATAACATGTCAACTACACTACATTTGCTGTATCCAGTGTCGACAAAGTGCGTTCAATACCCCTTAAATGAGGGATGGGATGGCGAATATTTAAATTAAGATTTGAACGTTGAAAAGAGGTAATCTTTTCACGCCATAAAATTACTTGGATTTTCAGGTTAATGATATACAGGTGTGTTGTATCAATATAATTAGAAACAGATAACTAAGTAGGCTTACTTAACTCATGGTCGTCACGGTCATATCTCATCCTTTCTAGACTGACCTACTTTTTTCTGTTCCTGGCAAGATGGGGTTCTACAGGATGCCTTTGGTTCTTGGCCTGGTAAGTTTTTGTTTTGTGTAATTCTAACATTTTTGTGATCTACTATTACTATTT